AAAACAAGGAGGCCCACGTTTGAGAAAAAAAAAATGGAAAGGATTTCACCTTATGAAAAGATCGCGATCCGCTTTCGTGGCATGGACTGGACAGAGGAGGAGGAACGTATTTGCTACCAAGTATTTTTCAAATGGTGTCGTCAGAAGGCAGACATACACAAAGGCCATGTGTTCAATTCCTTGTGGGCAGAAATTTCAATAGTCCTGAACCAATGCCTGAGTTATGCATTTAAGAGAGAGTTTACTATTTCTCAAGTCCGGCGAAAGATTCAGCGACTCAGAAATTATTTCGATGAATTTACTGCTTTCTTGATTATTCCAGGCGTCCTCTTGTGTCGTGATACAAGCTTTGCTAGGGTTAACCACATGTACTAAGTGTATGTGGGGGAGGAGGTAAATTGCATCTGATTTTTTATTTTAGTTTGTTCAAGCATGCATTTTTGTGACGCGGCCATAATAGCCTAAAAGATTTAAATTTATTACACAGGAGATCGACACTCAGGCATTTTTCCGTTCGGAAGGATTCCCTTGTTATGGTGAGTGTTACGAGGTTTTTACCGAGCGCAACGCAGCGGCGATAGACTTGGAAGTCATCGATCTCGACCCTTAGAATCCACTGGACATGTAATCAAAAGTTGTTTGGCTTATTTTGTTAGACTGACTGCAGTAATAATAAATATTTTTTTCTTCTGTCAAGTACGTGTTTGTTTAATCATGATTCATATGTCAAAATAAAACAATATGTTGCATGGACAATTAAACTATTAATTTCCGTGAACAGAGTTTTCCCAGCAAAATCAGCGACAATATTTGAAGGGAAAATATTATTGAAAGAAAATTCGCAGAACTATGAACAGAGTGCGATGATCGCATGGTTCTCGCATAAACGTACTGAAAAAAATAAATAAAAGTAATTTATATTTTTTAATCGCATATCCAGGCCAGATCAACCACATCATCATTTAGGATATGTGGAAAACTGTCGCGTAATTAGATTATCGCATATCCAAACTGCATCATTTATGAGTATGCAACTATGCGGCATATGTTCGCATAATTTACGATTCGCATATCCAAATCTATAAGGCTTAGATAACTATCTCTTATGCATTATGTTTTCGCATAGTTACAAATCGCATATCCATATAAAACTCGCATAAATGTATCAATATGCGAACACATTTCGAATAGTGTTACGCACCACTTTTTTTTCACCTAATAGTTTTTTTTTAATTTGTTAATTTAGTCAAAGAACAAGAATTTTCCAAAAATTATTATTTACCAACTCTCCAAAAATATACGACATTTGTATGTCACAATTTTGTACGTCGCAGAGTAGAAAATTTACAAAAACAAACATAAAAAAATATATGTTAGTCGTT